AAGATACACCTGGCTTGGGTCATTTCCACCATGTTTTCAATTTTTTTAGGCCTGAGGAATTATCCAGATAAAAGTTTATAAAGATAGGTGTTTTCCAGAAAAAGTTGCATTGTTTACAAAGCAGAAATTTTCAGATGAAAGGACACATACTGGATCTCCTGCTGAGCTTATTGCCATGCAAACTGCTCTAATCTTCTAAGGTATCTATTCCTTGGTGTGCCATGATTTTAATAGGCTAGGGTTTCAGCTTTTTAACTATATTGGCTGGTGGGATCTGGAGGATTCTGTGATGCATCACTGCTATGAAGTATATTTAGCAGGGGAATAAAAGCATTACTCATATTCCCTGTCTGTCCTATCATCCCTCAATTTTCTGCAACTTTCTCCTTAAGGAATGTTGTAAGCTGAGCGGGTTTTGGAAATGCCTCTGGCCTGCCTTATTCAGAACAGAGGCATTAGAGGATTCATCAGCCTTGCTGGTCCTATCTGTGAGGCCATTTTATATCAGCTGTCCGTTACATCTGGTGTGCTACTGTAAGCTTAACTCCGTTCCTGTGTGACTGCTTTGTACTTGCGGTATGTGTTTTTACTGGGCTTTTCGGTTAGGTCAAAGTAGAGCCCTTCGCTCTTCTTAAGAAGAGCACAACTTGACTTGTGTTCTTGGACTAGTTTCAAGATGCAGCGTTAAGGTATAGATGGTCAGTGAGGACTCTCATTTTTTTTGTTATTGTCTACCAAATTCTCTCGGATCCTGAACACCAAAGTAAAGGCGATCTTCATTTAAAATTCTTACTGTTTTCATCAGGTGAACTTCATTCTCTCCCCCATTTCTGTCTTTGCTGCAGTCTTTTAGCACGGACACGTGTGTGTGATGTTGAAGTCCCCTTGTGTCAGATAAATGATTATCATCTCGCTTGTCCTGAAAACTCTGTGTTTACCAGTATTCTGTTTGAAAAGCATACTACCGACTCCTGTTCAACATATCAAAACCAATTCTGGATAAGTGCCCTGTCACGTCTGTTGATTGAATTGCATATCCTTGACAAGAGAGTTCATCTAAACTGGCCAAGGCAGCAGAAGGTGGTGACTGGGGAATCTCTCTCTACTAACAACATTTTTGAAATGCCAAACCTAATCAGCTGGAGTTGGCATTATCCCTCAAACATCTTCCTTGTGTTGATGGCACAGAGAAATGAGCTGCCTTGTTTATAAATGAATTGTCAGACAACTTTGTTTTGAATTACCACGTTTAATTATGCTGCTGATATAATTTGCTATGATAAAATTAGTACAGTGCTTCTTTAGTTTTCCCATTCCAATGAGCTGTATGATGTAGCTGTCTGAAGTAGACATTCGTTCAAGGAATACTCTTTTTTAGAAAATTCATTATTCTGCCTGCCAAGTGGAATTGGAGTCCATAGCATCAATCTGATCCCTCTAGTCAATAAATACAGTATCTCAAAATATTCAGCGTGCTAAATAGCAATGGGATAGCAATTATAGCAATAAGATCTGTGTGCTTGAGACTGTTTCCAACATCTGTTGCATATACATTCCCCTAAGAGCTGGACTGAGACAATGTGAGCAGAACATACTCAGATGGTCATGCTTTGGTTTGTCAGATAGGCCTTTAAAATAAACGTGATGCCACTTCAAAGGTTTTGTATTTTGTGGCTAAAACTAGCAGTAAAGGTGCTTAAAACTAAAAGAAAGCTTATATTATGAGCAGGGATGATGGAATTGTTCAATGCTGTGTTTTGTGGCAGCACAGTATTGCAGAAACTCCGAGGTAGGACCAACTGAACAAGCCAAAAGCAATGAGGTAAGCCCAGAGGCGGAGTTGGCAGCAGAAAGCAGATGCAGTTTATGCTGGCAGAACATGGGTGGGGTGAAAAAGCAAAGGGGTTTGGGGGTACAGGTCTGTAATAGGCTTCCAGCTGAGTTGGAATTTATAAGTTGTTAAAAACAGCTTCACTAGCTGTGAATTATTATATTCATATGACATGTGGTAGCAGGGACAGACTTGACATTAACAGGTCCTTCCACTCCTATTTAATTTACAGAGATAAGACTGCAATTATTTACAAGATAAGACCCTCCACTACCTGTGAGGTCCATAACTAAATATCAGATAATGAATATCAGAAACACAAACTTTCTTGGTTTTAGAAATCGCTCCGTCAGTTCATTTTCATTTCCCCAACATTGGATGCTTTGAAGATTCAGCTGGACAGGGTGCTGGCCATCTTGTCTAGACCTTGCTTTTGCCAAGAAGGGTTGGACCAGATGATCCTTGAGGTCCCTTTTAACCTGATGTTCTATGATTCTATGATTTTACCGTTAAAAGCTATTTTAAAGTAGATAAAAATCAAAATTTGTCATAAAATCAAAAATAAAAAAAGTCGATCAAAAAAAATAATCAAAAAAGTCGTAGAAACCTAGTGAATGAAACTTGCTCACAGATAAGAATCTGAATTATCTTGTGCATATTGGAGTTTTCTTGCTTTGTTTTTGAAGACCTAAGTGGTGCATAGGCTTTTTGCCTGCCTGGATGTCAGGTTTGCTCCATTAGGGATTAGACAAACAAGCAAAAAGCATTCTTTTTTTTTAAAAAAAGGAATTTGATGTAAATTATTTTAGAAGGAAACAAACCTTCCTCTGAGTTACATGCATCTAAATGTAATGTCATTATGCCAGCGCGGGGGAACTAGAAAGTACGTTTGACTGAGCATGGCTGAAACAGTCCAGACCTCTTTAGAGCTGAGAGTGAAATTTAAGCAATCAAACCGGTAATGTAATTTTTATCTTAAAACAATTAGATTTCCACCTGTCTCCAGTCCCAAATAATAAGTGTAAAAGCTTTTCAAGGAATTTGTTTTAATTTTTGGCTTGATTCCAGCCTTCTTAAGAACCGTCTAGCTGACTTCCTGCTTTAACAGCTGCCGAAAGTTGGTTGAGCTTGTGCAGACCTCCTGTACGGTTGCTGGGCCGGCTTAGCCATTCTCCTTACCCCTTCAAAGGGTAATGCTTTTGGCAAGGCGGTATAAAACTTGCATTTACAGCATGGGAATGACCTGACCACCGCTTAAGATCAAGTCAAACCCTTGTAGTACACAGGTCCTGAAAGAAGGAATAGTAACAGTCCCGCAGCTGTGAGGGGACAAAAGAAATGGGAGCTAGTCATGAGGGATGAATTCAGGAGTCCATACTCAACTCTGGGGGTGGATTTCTTCAGCAGTCCTTCACTTAGTCTGGAGGGATGCTTTTTCACACAGCAGCAGGATGTGTGAAACGTGGCTCTGGTGCTGATGTCTACGTCTTTCCTCATTAAGTAGCTTAAGGTATGCCTAATCACTTAAAACTAATCACAGAGGCTGAGGTGGAAAAACATTATATACCCAACCGTACATGTACCATCTGTTTCTAATATGTATGTGAGAACAATTCATATTCCTTCACTGTACGTGTAATTGAAATGTTGCTTTTGTAGAAAAAGAGATATGAAGTACAAACAATTTCGCTCACTGATACTTTTCCAGCATTGGACTGCACGTAGACACACTAATGTTCCTCCTCTGCCTGGTGGATCCAGGCACTGAAAAACCATTTGAACATAAGGATTGTGCCCAAATGTTGTATCAATTTAATTTATTGTGTTGCCTTAGTTTTCATACCTCTGCGTTTCTTTTCATGGAACTAGTGGTAAAGAAATAATAATGTTTTTGGTGGTGTGATATTAATCAAGAGATAAAAAGGGTTACTTGAATTCCGAAAGCTAGAAGATTATTTTCATGCAAAAGCACCATTCTTAAGTCTCAGCTGGTATCACACTGAAAGCAAAAATGCACATAGTGGTGACTGCTGTTTCCGAAAGATCTATGCATGAAATAGCATAATGGTTAAGAACCTTGGATAAAAGCGAAGTGTCAGCAGGTACTTGCTGTATTTATTTATTTTTGCTTGTACTATTAATTTTCAAACTGACACCACAAACATGTCTGTGAAAGGTGAGCTAGAAAGAATTTTAATTATGGACTCTACGTGTGACTGGATTTGATTTGCTAGTACAAAAGCTTGGGATGACAGCCTTTACCTCTTTATATTACTTGTACTTTGTACTCGTGTTTAATCATCATTCTTCCCTTGCGTCTGGTGCGTGATCTTGTGGAACTCTTAGGCTTTGTAGTATTTTGTCTCCGTTTGCTAGTGGTGCTCACAATGGGGTCGGGTTGTGTCCTAAAAGCTAACGCTCTTATCAGCTAAAGGAAGGTCATAGCCTGAAGAATTATTTGTATTGGATGCTTTTCCCACAATACTGTACCTCATGAGTGGCCCTGAAGAATCACAAAGCCTTGGATTTAAATTTGGATTCCGTACAGCTGTGCTGCCAGTGGACCGTGAGGTGGATTGAAATGGTTTGCTGTTAACACCATCAAAATATGTTTTCAGTGGACGTATTGAGTCTGCAATTTGTAGCAACCACCTTATGAGGAAAATGTCACATACTAAACGTGTTTTATATCTCTCCTGCTGTTTGAGAATGTGATCGGCTCTGTAGAGAGGCAGCCTGCACTTTGGTCTTCTCAGGCTCATCAGTTTAACGTTTTTCAACTCTTCTAGAAGATCTGATTGCCTCGAAAACCTTTTAAAACATACTTTAATTTTCTCAGTGTTCTGTCAGTCCACTCAGTGTAGGTTAGCTTTGTGCTCTTCGTCACTTGGCATAATGTAAATGCACTTCACTCCATTTTGAAGGGAATCATCATGGTTGTTTGATTGCATGAAATAAAAACAGCATCCTTTCCCATCAGACATTTACAGTAGATCCAAACCATAATGAAAATTCAAATGTTGAAAGCTGCTTCCTCAAACGGTGACAAAAAGTAGTCATAAGCGAATGAGAGCTGAAACACTTCAGTCATATTTAGTTCCACAAATCGGTTTCGCTTTTGGTCAGGCTTCCTGTATTTTGTGAGCTTGCATGTATTCAACAGTGCGCTATGAACAGCAGCAACTGTTACTTTAATTTTGTAATCATGTGGCAAAGCAGTAAAATATCTGCAATGTATTTCTTGGACAAAGATTCCAAACTATCTAACTTATTTCAACAGGCAAGCAGTCCTACAACAGGAACAGCTCCCAGGAGTCAATCACGGTTGTCTGTCTGCCCTTCCACTCAGGACATTTGTAGGTACGTGCTGAGAAAAATATGCTCTACTCTGGCTGATACTTGTTAGTTGTTTTTATTAAATAATATGTAGCTCTTGCTTCTGCTTAACACTATTCATAATTTACGTAGACTAGTTTTCTTTTGATCTCTCTGTTTTCATTCTGGTTTTGCTTTTCACTTTCATGTTTTTCTACTAAAATTCATGTTCTCATTTTCATCCCTTTTTTGTGATTTCTGTCTTTCCACCCGCCCTTACCATTTCCATCCCTTTCCTTTGCTCACTGCTTTGTCTAGATCTACTACCTTGCATGATTTGTCAGAAGATGAGCTTGAACATGCAACCCCTGTCATGGTGCTGACCCCTGTTAATAGGGAGTCTGGTAAGAAACAAGTAAAACGAAGGTTTAGGCGGAAAAGAGAGACTGGAGACAATGGTGAGCATACAGAAAAGCAAGGAAAGGGGAGAGACTGTAAATTGCATCCTGAGCCTGCGAGATCCAGCTGGAATGCATCTGATTCATCATCATCTTCGGATGAGAGTCAGTGGGCTCAGGCTAGGAGGAGAGCGAGAGAAAAGGCCAGAATGTCCAGGAGAGGGAGAAGGAACAATAGATCATGCAGTAACCAGGATGGGTCCTCAAACAACGATGCTGTTGAACTTGTCACCTTGGGGACAATGGGGAAAAAGAAGCAGGAGGTATCTGACCCTGAGAATCCTACTTTAAATCACCGCCGAAGAAGGGTTCCAAGGCTTAAGGAATCACAGTCTTCAGCATCATCTCAGGAAGCAAGGATTTCCTCAAGAAAATGTGGGAAAAGCAAAGGGAAAAGCTACTACAGACATCAGCAGCCTGCATCTTTCCTTAGACACGATAAAGATTCAAAGGACTGCTTTGCAGAGGCAGGCTCTGGCAGTGATGCTCTGGCAGTCCCAGAGAACGGAGCACCTGCTGGGGCAAGGCCCAGCGTCACTGATGCTGTGCGGAAGCCTCCGGTGTTGTATGATGACTGGTCTGATGATTTAGAAGTATGCAGGTTAGTCCCTAATAAGAAAGATTTAACGTTCTTAAGAGGAATTTCTCACCACCATGGGCTGAACACCCTTCTCTTGACTGCTTTCTATCACTGTTTCTCAGTAATAAACTGCTGGGCAGGCCGTAAGAACACAAAAACCTTTGCTACAGAGAAGTTAGTGTATTGCAATCTGAAGACATACTTCTCTTTTTTAAAAACAGTAATCCTACAGAGGAACCAAATGTTTTTCTTTGCTCCGTTTTTCTTCATGAAGACAGACACACTGTGTCCTCTGGCAGAGTATTACTGTGTTTTAAATCTCCAGCCAGAGGCAGAGAATGAGGCAGGGTGCCAGATAGCTCAACACAATGGGATATGGAGTTTTTCATCCTTAGGTGATCAGTTCAAATCCAGCTTTGGTCCCTCTTTGTCATTTTTCATTGACTTACATGAAATAAATTTATGGTCTTGATCCAGTGTCCTCTAGAGCTGCTGTTACCACAGCAATCTGATGGATGGTGCCTGCAAAACACCCTCTCCGGTCGGGCATAAGTTGTACGAGACTTTGCTGAACACCTCTGCACTGTGAACATATAGGGGCTGTTAGTTCGGTACCCGTCACAAGGATTGGAAAGATACAAAGGATGATTGGGCAGAGTAAGCAGTAAATTAAGCTTTGGGAAAGAAAAAAGGCAACACCACCAGATCTCTCTGGTTCAGAAGGTCAGGCTTCTGGCAGTCTGATACCCTTGGTGTGAAGCATGCAATCGGAAGGTGAGCATTTTCCCCTGGAAATGAGAGCAAGCCGACCACTTCTGAGCTAAAGTCCAAATTTGGAATAGGCATCTGGGTGGACTTGAGTTTCTTAATTTAATGGTAAATGAAAATGCACCGTCCCGTAAGTTTAACAGAACTGAAACAAGTATTTCTTTTTTTTTTTTTTTTTTTTTTTTTTTTCCTCCCCGTACTTGTGAGCCAGCATTGACTCTCATCTACGAAGTGTAAATGAGGATCAGGCTTAGTTTCTTGATACGGTAACTCAAAACTTCTCACTTTTCTTTGCTGGGAAGAAATTTGCATGGAAATATAAACACAGTCAGAATGAGGAAGTTCACGATGCCACATCATGCAGTTTCACAGTATACTTCAGCCTAGTAACACACGACAAAGATCCTAGTTTTAAAAAGAAAAAAGATGGCATGCAGGCATTATGCTTTTTGACAGCAGGAGATATAAGCTATTACTAATACAGCTGGTACTACGCACTGCTTGTTACACTTACCGAGCAAGAGTGGACAATTCAGTTGTCTGGCCATTGTCTGTCATGATAATTCAAGATTCTTCAGAGTAAAGTCCAGCTGTGTTTGTACATCAGCTTGTATATCAGGACTACACACCTGGCTTGGGACCTCTTCACCTTACAGAAATGCAAAGACACAGCAGCAGTGGTATCCATGTTACACATTATTGAAGCACCTGAAGTATGTCTACATGGTATGATGCAGAGATGTGCAGAGATAGCTACTTCAACAACTTCAAAGTTGTCTTAAATTTCTGAACCACCAAACCTACATGTATTGAAGATCCAGTGTAGCAGGCATATTACATCTGTAATAGGACCATTTAATAATTATTAAGAATATGAGCTACCCAAAACCTGAAATAAATTATTTCAGCATGAGTCTTTATATGGGCTTAACCTTATTTAAAAAAATAGAAATCAAAAGTTTTGTAATTGTCTCATGTAGATTAATCCTAACTGTTGCCCCAAACTTAGACGTTGCTTTCAGAAGGAATGTGGACTCCAGTCTTTTATCTGTCTTCTCGACCCATTGAATTTTATGATAATTATTCAGGCACTGTTTGTAAGACTTGGAGCTTTGTTCAAGGATAGACTTTTGGATGTGCATGCAGACTTTTCACCTAGGCTCTTGTGTAGTAGAGGAAGGTTGAAAACTTTTGATAGGTCTGTGTCCCTAGACTCGCTATCAGTGGAGATGCTCTTTAGGCAACTAGAGTTAAGCTCAACATAGTTGATGAGTTGGCCTGTTGTGCAAAATTTGTCAAGTGAGTCATAATTGCATTTTTCTTCATGTCAGGGACAATGGTATTTTTTTGTTGTTGTTGTCATTACTAGGTGTATCATAGTGATGATAATAGATCTAGGGAAGACATTACAAAATCAAAAGCATTTTAATTTTTTGTAGCTGGTAAGTTGTCTTAATCGGCTTGCAGACAGCTGAAGAAAAAGGAAGACATGTTTTTACTACTGATTCAGTATAGACTGTAGTTTCTGTTTTTCAGGACAGATCCATGCACTTAATTGACTCATGATCTGTGGTATGTTTTTCTTCAGATTCACGATCTTGCATCTGAAACAAAGAAAGAATTACATTTCAACGCAGATGTGCACATATACAGTAACCATTTTTCTGCATGGGAAATAATAGAAAATTTATGATGTTTATTCTAAGATTGTAGTAACATAGCTGGTTGAGATGTGGAAAATTTTTTTCTTGAGGTGTTTCTTCAAGCTTTTCATCCGAGATATTAATATCTTCTAGTTGATATGACCAAACCGGCTGAGAGGAATAGCTCTCACCTAGATGGGATTGTGTGGAAATAGCAGAGGAGCATGGATCTTAAACATCTCCTAGTGCCAGTTCTTTTGTCTTTAAGTGTTTGGGTAGGCAATTTTTTTTCCTTTACTTCCTCATGAATTTCTGGCAGTGGAACGCATTTATGTACACACATAAGGCTATAAACACTTTCCTCAATGTGCATTTAGCTGCATGAGTGGAAATGTGACAGGAGACACCCAATTCCAGCATAAGCACATTAGTCAGATAAAGTGTAGTACCATGGCACAATATACACTTCAGCTAGTCTAACATAGACCTCTTGGTCACTTCAAGTGAGACATTTCCCCTTTTAGTGTCACTGTTTCTTGGTTTCCAAAATGATGAAACAATGACATGGCATCAATGATGATCTTCACAATCTCTTCCCCAAACATACTTCTTTCTTCTGGAGTCCATTTGAAGGCAAGAGTTCTGCTTCTGGGATTAGGGACAACTACTTAAGTTCTGACCATGCTGAGTTGTTTTGGCAACTAATTTTTTTTGGGGGGGATTCACAGGATAGACTTTCTAAATCACGCAGTGGGATCCCCTTTTTTCCTAAGTTGCCCTGTGTCTGAGATTTTCTTCATATGTACTTTATTCTGGAATTTGCCATGTGGCTTGAGGCACAGCCTCAGAAATAGGTTTCTTTGGTCTGCGTGAGGGTAATCTCCCTGAAGGGAAAAGCTGTGTGTGGGACACTATAAAGTGAGTGGATTGTGAGGATTTAATCCCATGGATTTTCACATGGGACTTACTAAGGAAAGAAAATTGGTTAGTTGGTATTACCACTAGTGTATCGTAAGTGCTTTGTGTATTGACTCTGAGTTAATCTTATGGTATTTTTATTATTTATGATGTGAGAACTGAAAGATATTTTCTGTTTGACTAGTTATGTTTTGGTGTAAAATCTTTTTGTAGTACTGAAGCTGTCATTTCAGCAATAACGCTGAACTGTAATTACCTGAAAGAAACCACACACACTCAAATAAGGTGGAGTTTCTCACTTTGGAAAAAAATGCTTATGGGAAGTAGAATTTTGACTCCATGAATGACTCTGTATGCAGTCAGGTAATGACAGAGCCTTATTTGAGGAGTAAATAGAAGAGATGGGCATGCCAGAAGACTGGTAGGAACAGGGAGAAGTGGTAAGGGAGATGATGAAGCTGGCGGATGAAACCTGCAGAATCTACTGCAAGTATAATTTTTTTAAAATCAGCTTAAAAAAGCTAGTGTATTAATTAAAAGGCCATTATAAATTTAGGAAAAGACTATGCATTAACACAACCAGATAGGAAGACATAGTGTACATTGCATTTAACAAGAGGCAATACGATTATATAGTTTCTCTCTGTGAAATCAAGTGTTGTAACAGGAGTTTTTTTC